TCCACAACCACACATCATCTCTGAATTTTCTCCCTACCTAGAAGACATGAGGGGCTGATGAATATTTGCTAGGAAGCTTCCTTATGTCCCATTAATTGTATTGTGTGTTTCCCCCCCACTTTCCCCTTCATATATAATTCGGCCTTAGGGCCATGTTGTAAGGCAGTTTTTTTTGATGAATTAAAACATTACTCTTTGAGTATATTTTAAATAGTGTGATGCTATTTAAGCCAAATTCCTAATTCTATATCTTAAGAGTGGTTATCTTAAGTGTGAGTTTTAGGTTCTAGATATTTAATTGAGTGTGTAATATCTTATTTGAATTCTAGATTCAAACCCCAAGTTAAGATAAGAGTGTGTCATATCTCTTGACACTAACTTGGTTTATCATCTCCTATTTTATTCCCCCATTTCGTGCCTCCCCATATTCTCTTCCTAAACCTCTTCTTTTTCTCCATAAAAAAACACCAAAAGAACTCCCCTTTTGCCCCATAATATTTCGGCCACCCCATTTCCCCCTCACCTCCCCATAATTCCTTCTCTAAAATAGCAACGTGATAAGACCCCGGGTCTCGGGTATAACATTTTATTTTGTTGTTTGAGCATGGCGGTAATTGGTGAGACCTGGTTAATAGGCCGCTGATAGTTCTGTTTATGTGAATTGTTATAATCTTATTGGTGTTACTGTTGAACTATGGACTCTGTTGAGAATAGGCCACCTAGTATACCTAGGCGAATTTGAACTAAATTGGATATCTTAGACACCAATAGGAATTTTGTTAGGTACGAACCTTGTGGAGCATGTCTGCATATCTACTGGCCTAGGGTTCAAAACGTACGTACGGAGGGATCCCTTGGTAGGGACTCCAACACGTCCATTGAGGATCCTCTTTGGGTTTGTCCGGGCATCGGCCTCGATTGATCTGCTCGAGTGTTCTTAACTTTTGTCTGTTGAATTGAGTTTTAGTGCAGTATTAATTGGTTGTGAGGAACTGAATTGAATTGTTGGAATTTTGACCTTGAACAATAGTGGTGTCTGTTTACTTTTGTTGCTTGATTATGTATGAACGTGATATTGTCTGTAAATTAATTCTAGCGGTCGACATATTCTCACTCAGCTTTCAGCTAAGCGTGTAGTCTTTGTTGTCTTTGACTGCATGCAGGTATTTGTTGAGCTAGTCCTGGAGGACAGCAAGACGAAAGGGGATGTTTTGGATGCAGGATTGCTAGAATTTAATGGATTGATTTGCTTAAAATCATGGTATGATTATTAGCTTCTGCATTATTTTGGAATAACTCCGATAAATTAAATAATTGTTTTTGAAATGTTTAGCTTTTATTTAGATGCTTCTAAATGTTTGTGTTTGGATACCAATTTAGTAGCAACCCGATTCGCTAACTCGCTGGTTCGAGTTACGCGGATTGGGGTGTTACATGACTACGTCGAGTCCTAAACTATCAAAGGACCCCTTGCACTCTGAGATAACCTATTATATACGATGACTCAGACCACCTTAGTCTCACAAATGAGACTAGAAAATTAAGGGTGGTATCCAAAAAATTGGATACCATGTTTGTACATTATGTTCAAACTATGTGATGTCGGAGTGTCGGACTAATAAGTCCCGCACGGTCATGCTATAAGAGGCGCATGTGGTATGACCTTTTACGCAAGATGAGATGATATGCTTTCAACATGGATTTGTGAATGTATGAAGCACAATGGTATGAACACTTGCAATCAACATTGATATATGAACATACATAAGTTCACTGGAAATAACATCATTCAAATGTCAATTTGATATATCACAAGTTTCACAAAACTGAGTTGGGTTCGTAACTGAAGACCATTTGGCACGGCGGTCGACTGTGTTGATGATCATTGTCTGACTGCCAATGTGACAATCGACCGTTGCCTTTTGGAAGTCGATCGTGGTGACATACCTGATGGTGTCCGTTTTCAATGGAGGACTGTTTCTCCTAGGTAATGGACTTATCATTGTATTGTATATCTCGTTTTTCATCTGAGACCGTGACGGTCAATCATTTCCTTCCCGCGGTTGACTGTTTGATGGGTATTGGGCAAAAATATGCTCAGTTGATCGATCATGAGTCATTTTGATCAATCACCCGCAGCTTCTGGGTGCCGATTGTGCGATTTTCTTGCTCTGGACTTGGTCGTATCAACTAGGAATCATTTCGGTCTAATCATTTCTAAGGCATGTAGACGTATATTTCATATAATCAAACAATTGCCAAATCTTGAGGTTATCCTCAATATGCAAGAACTACGAACACATATATATACATAAGTATATAAAGATTGAACACACACATTCATGCATATATATATATATATATATATTCATATATATATGTAATGACGATTCGACAATTCTAACACTAGGGTACGGACCTTATATTCGGCGATAAACGTGGAGCATGAAAAGATAACGTCTCAACGAACTATCAATGAACGGAATGTCTCTATCTACTTCAAACATCCAAATCTCTATCTGTTAGTTATTCACCCCCTTAGATGTTGTGGAAAACATCTATCATTTGATGACGATTTGATAGTTAACGGGTTGGACGGAACAAAGCAAAGATGGAGTTGAAACAAGCGAAATCCGTCACTCCCGTCGCCACAAGACATGCTGAGGTAATTTGCCCATATCTCTTTCGTTTCTCAATGAAATTGGGAACTGTTTGATTCTTTGGATTCGTAAGACGTAAGGCTACAACTTTTGTTTTTTAAGGTATTTCGAAATAACAGATGAAAATATCGAAAAGTGGACCTGAAATTAGATGACAGTTGCTGCCCAGAATTTCAGGAACTACCGGTGAACAACGATGGTTCCGGCGGCCAACTTCTCCACCTCCTTCAACCAAAAGACCTAGGAGCTTCTGGAAACCCCTCCCCTTGCTGATGCTGACACTCTGGGGGGGGAGAATTGTGTGGAAAGTGGAGTGGAATTGTGGAAATATACTTATTGGCGAACTCTTTTTTGACAATTTGTAAAATGGGTTGGGACTATTATAGTAACAAGGCTTGAAATTATTAGGCTTAGTGGGTGAAAGTAGCGTGGCTAGTGGGATTTTTTAGGATGGGATTGGCGGATTGGGTAGAGATATAGGATATTAGTTTTGGACTTTTGTCCAAACTGATAAATTTACCCCAAACACTACACGCTTTTCACCCAAACAGCTCTGAATCGAAAAACCAATTGCATCTTTAGAATCAAATATTCAAAACTAGAATAATGACGTATTCAAAATATTTATTTGAAAACTTTAATTTTTTAGCTTTCGGGTCCCTCTCAGTCATAAATAAATTTAATAATAAGAATAAGATAAGAGGATAGAGATAAAAATCCAAATGATGAATATGGTATTGTTAAGTGTCAAAGATTCAGATTTCTAATCTTATGATAGCACTTTTTAAATTATGAGGTTAATTAATGTGTCAAACTTACATATTTTCATATTTAAAATTGTCATAACTCAACAGCTGTAAACCAGATTGGTTCATAAAATGTACCGTTGGATTCGTTTTTTCGAGACCCATCCATAAAATTTAGTTTTAGGCTTTTAGCAAAAAGTCATTATTTTGAAAAATCCTCTCATTTTTGGTCAAAGGTTAATTGTCTTTATTGGACCAAAATGTTATTCAAAAATACTTTTATCATGTAATAAATTTTAGGTCATATTTCGTGGCGTTACATTGTTCTCATGTTCTTTTATTTTCCTTTCTATTTTTCGTGTTCTTCATTGAGTGGAATCACTCCCGTAAATTTTTTTTAGTGTTAAATACTTATATCCACTCGATAAAGGTGTGCGTTATTTCTAACAATGAGTACCAGACTAGTGATTTCTTCAAATTTTAGCTGCCAAAAATCAAAAGACCTAAGGTTGGAAGATCATTGAACGAGGAAACCCTCGAAGGCCTATCAACAACTAGGCCACAATTATTTGATGGAACCAACTATGCATATTGGAAGGAGTGTATGGAGATTTGTATCTAGACAAATGACTACAATTCATGGTTGGTGATCTAGCATGAAGACACAGTGTGAATCATTGTTATTGATGGAAATCGAGTTTCAAAATCCCAAAATCAATGCCCAAAAGATGATTATGTATATCTTGCAGCAAATTTCAAAAGTGATAAATTATGTATATCATGCTCTTAACCTCGATGATTATCATAAAATTCTAGGTGTGAAATAGCCAACAGGATGTGGAATAAAATTGCAAGTAAACTATGACGGCACAACTTGATCAAGTGAAAGATGCCAAAGTTTTTATATTCGCAGTTTCGCACACGAGTATGAACTATTCAGTGTGAGGGAGAACGGACACATCGAATATATGTTTGAAACATCCTTCTCTATTCTTAACTACGAAGGCACAACTTGATTCACTATGAGGGCAAATGATGAGTCACTCAAAATTGAGGAAAACACGGATCTTCCACTTGTCATAAGACGCTTCGACAAATTTATTAAGAGGCCATTCAATCCAAAAAGGGAAACAAGAAGAATACACCTCCAAAATGCTACGAATGCAGAGAGCTGTGTCATATCACCCGTTTTGCCATAGTTGAAGCAGGACAAGGACAAAAAGTTAAAAAAAAAGAGGAAAAAGTATATCTCATGAGACAAAGATGCCTCATCTTCTGAAACATCCAACAAAGAAGATGAAGTTGCTAATATATGTCTTATGACTATTAAAGATGAGGTATCATGCATGATGCACCTACTACTCCTACTATTCCTTTATCACCTAGTTACAACAAACTTTACTTCGATGAATTGCATCATGCCCTAGAAGATCTTCATGGTGAATACCTAAAATCCAACAAAGAAGCTAATGATGCCATGGATAGAGCTACATATCTAGAAACTAAGTTAAATGAACTTACCAACGAGATGAAGTACGAAAACTTGAAAATAGTACAATTGGCAATGTTTATGTTGACTCTTCGTGTGCTACCCTTGTCATCCATGAAAAAGAAATTTCTAGACTTAACAAACATCTATGAAAATTAGACTAGCAAAAAGATTCACTTCATTTTGAAATAGGGTAATTTTAATAGAAAAACTTTGCTTTTTGATGAAAACTTTGATAATAAGGGTCACCCAATTAAATTTGTAAAGGAGGTTAATGAGAGCAGTGTGTCCTTAAAGATGCTCTAAGACACCCACTAAAGCAACTGAACAAAGGGTTAGTAATTTCTCTAAACGGCATAGTAAAACAAGTCCCTATATTATATATCTCGAAGTACAGTATTTTCCATCATCTCCGATGGAGCCAAAATTTCACCATTTTTTGGCTTTGGGGTGTGATGGAGTAAATCAAAATGGATCTCTAAACTGTCCGCGCTTCTTTAATTAATGAAATAGCAGTTAGTCAAGCAATGCAACTTTCGACGTTGAGCCGGGGGTCTCTTTGGAAACAGCCTCTCTACTTTCGAGTAGGGGTAAGGTCTGGTACACACACCCTCCCCAGACCCTACTCTTGTGGGATTTAACTGGGTTGTTGTTGTTGTTAATGTGAATACTCAGTTTCAAGTAATATAATACTTCTGTATTCAAAACTTATGCATTACAATATATATATATATATATATATATATATATATATATATATATATCATATGCTCATTAGAAAATTTAATATTCATTACATTTATACAGAATGCATATTTACGAATAACACAATATTTATTTCAATTAAAATAATGACTAAAGTACAATAAAAATAAAAATATATGAAACGAGTATTTTATAATAGAAATGAATATTCGTCCGGGATATACCAAAAATATTAGTAGGGCGTTGCTTTCTTCTCACAAAGAACTGATTCTTTTTACATTCCTTCTTTCGATTTTTTATGGGCCACGCTAGGGATACACCAAAATGGTGTACCCCATTTGTACACCAGGCAAACACACTAAATATCTGTGATCACAAATACTTAGTGTGTGTGTGTTTTCCTGATGTACAAATGAGGCACACCATTTTGGTGTACTCCTACCTTTATTCTTTTTTATTCACCCCAATATGAATGATGTTGAATAAAATCCATTTCTATCTTTAGTTTCCCCACTTGATAATGCAGGCTTTACGCGGGTGGCAGAAAGGTTCGATTTTGAGAAATTTAGTTTCCCAATCCACGAAAATTGGAGCAGTCACCGAATCATTGGCTGCCTATTCCGCCTTTTTCCATTCTACTCCGTTCTATTTGGAGAAGCGGAAGAACAATTGGGGATCCGTAAGTTCATTGCTTTCTTTAGATACAAAACGGTAGATATTAAAGTTTTTCTTTTATATACTCCGTATTTGAATTCTTGTTCCTAGAGTTAATTATTTCTTGTTTAGTTTTTTTTCGAATCCTTATTACTTAGAAGTCATTTAGTTCTTACCCTTTCTCTGCGTGGGTAGTATGATAACGGGAAAAGGCTGAATCTTTGACTCAGAGCAATTATATATGGACAAGTAAAAGTTCAAAATTGAGTAAATGCACATGTTTTAGTGCATAATCTATGCATTATTTTTCACTGAACCTTTACAAGTTGAAAAATTTGTCAACCCATACTAACTAATTAATTAAATGAATCCAAAATGCAGTGTTATCCTGATTTAGTAGCATTAGTGCATTAGCATTATAGTTCCATGTGATACGTAATTCATCCATTGCGTATGGTGCTCTGCCAATGATGCTGAAAGAGTCATATTGACCATGTTTTAGTTTCTAGTAAATAATGGACTAAAATAAAATGGTATATTGAATTTCCTTTCCTTCCTTCTATCTATGAAGTTTTTGCTAGTAAATGTAATAATGCATCAAGTGTTTATTGGAACTATGGAATTAGCCTCTCTCTCTTTCTCTCTCTCTCTCTCTCTCTCCCCAGCGCACTTAGAATTATATTGGATTGTTGTTTTGTGTTTGTTGATAAATTAGATTTCATTGCATATTAGTGTGCAGATTGGAAAATCTCAAATGATTGATATAACAAAATGATCTTGCTAATTAGAGTTGTGAGAAAACTGGTTTCTGTCTCAAGGAAGAAGACGAACCAAAGAAACATGGAGATTAGGAAGAGAAGAATTGGAGAGAGAAATGAGGAAATTCAGTTGTATTCATTCATAAGTCTACATCTCTACATTATGTATCTTGTACTCCCTCCATTCCATATTGAGTGTCTAATAAGACATTCTTGATACTTTAAAAAGTGAATAATGTAGATACACTTTATGTCTACATTCATTCATTTTTCAATGTACCAAGAATGTGTTATTAGACAGTTAATAGGGAATGGAGAGAGTGTACAACAAAGCCACTAACTAACAGCTAACTGACTAACTTATTATTTGCTCAATTACTAACTAGTAGTCCACATCAGCTATAACATTGCTCCCCCCCTCCAAAGAGACTTATCCTCAAGTCTAATTTGAGATAGGGAAGTTTATATACGTCTCTTGGAAATCTTCAGCTAGTTCCCAAGTGGCCTCAAGGTGACTATAGCCCCATTGAACCAAATATTGTACTTGGGTTCGTCTATCAAGGATGGCTGCTAGGGTAGAGATGAGTGGGGCTGTAAAGCAAACGAATTCAATCGAATATTATGAAATTTTATTCGTATTTGAAAAATGACAACATTCTTCATATTTGTTTTTTATCTGAATAATTATTACTATTCGTATTTGATTCGGTATTAAATTCAAATATTCGGTTACTATTCTGTTATAAATTATAAATTTTAAGTTTTTTTAACGTTTTATGGCTTCAAAAATTATTGCCCCACAAATTAATCACTTTGTACTAAAAAAGGCATGTCCACCATAGTTTGTAAGGCGTCGCCTAGGCAATAAGGTGCTGTCTCCTAAACGCCTAGTCTGCTCGCCTCGCCCAGAAAACCTTAAGGCGTTCAGGCGCTCGCCTAGACGTCGCCTTACTCTCGCCTTGACGCCTTGTGCCCCTTTAAAATTTTGAAAAGGCCAATTTTTTAGTGCAACCCATTTATTTTGAAAGGTTAATTTAAAGTGTAAAAAAAGATTTGACTTAAACTTGTGACCTGTATATAAATAAATAAATAAATATATACATACATACATACATATGTGTGTCTGTATATATATATATATATATATATATATTAACAAGGGAACTTTATTAAAAGAGAGAGGACTCAGGCGGTTACAAACATGATGGAAAAAAAGAGAGAAAAAAAGACAAACACCAAAATAAAAAATGAAGAACTAAACGCTTTCCATTTCTCCAGAAGTCCTTGATCCCCCACGTTGTGAAGTCTTCATCCTTAATGAGCCATTTCTTGTTCATGTTTACCCAACACCAGCCTTGAATTTGTTTGAAGCAAAGCTGGATAATGTTGTCTTTGGTTGGAGCTTTCTCTTCATAAATGAATGCATTTCTTGCTTTCCAAATATTCCAAGCGATAACCCCTGGCAGAATTAGTCGTAGACAACCTTGAAGTTCTTCTCATTTCCAGTAACCCACCAAGCTATCATATCTTGGCAAAGAGTAAGACCCTGCCATACAGATGGGCCCATAACAAAGGAGCTAAAGTAGTGCCAAACTTGTGTACTAAGGGAGCAATGAAGTAGGGAGTGGTCCAATGAGTCTTCATCCCTTCTGTAGAGAGTGCAGCAGGTAGGGAGGGAGTAGCCAAATCTTCGCAAGTTGTGAGGGAATGGTAAGGCTTCGTTTAGAACTCTCCATTGAAACATCTTAAGCTTGGGGATTTGAGTCTTGTGCTAAATGTACTTGCTGGAGGTTAAATTTGGGTAGCCCATTTCCCCCACTATGAAAGCTCTCTTGAGGGTGAATGAACCACCATCCCATGACATTCCCATCTCATCTCTGGAACTGTAGGTCTCTCCAATGTCATTGATTCTGCTGATTCTCTTCCAAACATGAAAGTCTGTTATCCTTTCCTTGATAGTGCCTGACTTCAAGTATTTACCTCTCATGAAAGAAGCCCAAATGCCTTGGTCATTATGGATCTTCCACCATAGCTTCAAGGAGTAAGCGTCTTGAAGTCTTTCAATGTTTTTGAGGCCCAAACCCCCTACCTCAGTAGGTTGGCAGATTGAGCTCCAGCTTTTCCAGTGATATTTAGGTTTACCTTGCTTCTGCCCCCAAAAGAAGTTGGCCATGGAGGAGTTTAGGGCATTGATGATGGATTTAGGGATGGTGTGGACAGCCATTATATGTAATGGGATAGAGGAGAGGACATGTTTGATAAGGATCAACCTCCCCATTTGGTTAATGGTCTTGCTATACCAGGAATTGATGTGCTTGAAGAAATGATCCATCAACCTTGTACGGTGTTCCTTCTTGAGTTTCCCTTTACAGATATTGGCCCCCAGGTAGGTAAAAGGGAGCTTTCCACACTTCATGCCTAGAGCTTTTTCCATGTTATGAATAATGCTTGGAGTTGGAGGTGTCTTACTGGTGGTGTAGAATCTGCTTTTTGAGCTATTTATTTACTGTCCAGAGGCAAGGAGATATTCTGCAAGGGCCTTCCTTAGTTTGAGCAGATTCCTGGTTTCTCCCTTGGTAAAAATAATGAGGTCATCTGCATAAACCAGGTGACTAGCAAATTTCACACTCCCAGCATTGAATCTTTGAATATGGCAATTGTCCATGTAGTGGTTAAGTAGCCTGCTGAGACCTTCCGCTCCTAAGATGAAAAGGAGAGGGGAAAGGGGGTCCCCTTGCTTGACACCCCTTGTCATTCGGAAGAAGCCAGTTGGCTCCCCATTGATGATGATGTTGAAATGAGTACCTTTGAGGTTGGCCATAAGGATGGATATTGAGTTGTCGGAGAAGCCAAAGGCAGTAAGCAGCGTTTCTAGATATTTCCAATCCATTCTGTCAAAAGCTTTTGCCATATCTATCTTAATAAGCAGGTTCCCACCAAATACCTTCTTATCAAGTTGGTGGACAGCTTCTTCAGCCATAAGAATGTTTTCATCAATGGATTTGCCTTGTTGGAAAGCAGCTTGCTCAGGGGAGATGAGTTTGGGCAGGAGCAATTTGAGCCTATTTGCCAATATCTTTGTGTTAATCTTACTCATGAAAGTTGACAGCCTGAAATCATCAAATTTCTTGGGATTATCTATCTTGGGGATAAGGGATAGCAAGGTGCTGCCGTAAGCCCTAGGGATAGGCATGCCACGGAAGAATTCCTGGGAGGCTAGAAGGACATCCCTCTTGATAATCTCCCAGCAGTGTTTGATAAAGTTTCAATTAAATCCATCAGGACCACTTGCACTGTTACCATCAAACTCCCAGATCTTTTAACTTCCTCCAAAGTTGGTAAAGCAGTAAGGAGGGAGTTGTCTTCCAGGGTTATAACCTTTGGGATGAGAGGAATAATTGGCTCAAGAATAGGATTATGATCAGCCTTGTAGAGTTTTTGGAAATGGCTTAGAGTAGCTTCTTTTATCTCCCCTGGGGAGGAAAGACCCTTCCCTTCTGTTGAGAGAATATGAGTGATTGAAAGCTTCTTCCTCTTCCCCTCCTGGAAGAGCTTTGAGTTTGCATCCCCATGTTTGCTTTTTGTTTCCAGTATTCTATTTCCTCATTAACTGCTTTTATAAGTTTGGCATTGGCAAGTTGTGCTGATTCCCTATTGATCTCATTTGGAAAGTTCTCATATTCTACTTGAGCTTGGGAGGCCAGTTGTTCAACATCATTGAGTTTGGTGTAAATGTTCCCAAAGACCTTTTGGTTCCATTCCTTAAGGGCTACTTTAGTGTGTTGTAGCTTATTGGCCAATTCTCCCATACCACCCACAGTAGGGTGGGGCTGCCTGACCATGTATCCGTAACCAAATTGTGAAAAGTATCATGAAGTGTCCAAGAGTTCAGAAATTTGAAAGGCCTGACCCCCCCTATTTCTGGATTTGAGCAATTAAGCAGAAGAGCTTTGTGATCAGAATTGGTCCTGGCTAGGTGGGGGTAAGGGTAATTTTGCCAAAGGAGGCCATGATATCAAGGTTAATCAGTACTCTATCAAGCCTTCTCCAGGTTCTCCCTTGGCTCCTAACGCCGGACCATGTAAATATACCCCCAACTGGATCTGGGCAAATCAGATTACAGTTGGATATGCATTCATTGAAGTCATCCATACTTTGAGAGCAAGGGATGCATCTGCCCTTAAATTCTTGGAAGGAGGTGATGGCATTGAAGCCCCCCAATGATCTAGCGCTTACCCTCAGGGCAAATAGTTTGAAGTTGGTTCCAAAGAAGTCTTCTTTCCCGTACAGTGTGAGACCCATACTGTTATACCCTGGCATGGCCCTATCATACCCTCCCCCATGTCCTACACCCTCGCAAAAACCAAAGGACTTACGTTCAAACATTATGATCCGTTTTAGTGAGAATTCCAGGTCCTTCAACCCGAGAGGCCTGAATAACTTCGGACCCAAGGTTTCCGCAGACCAAATCCCACTCCGTCCAACCCAACCCTAAACATCCAAAACTCCTTGCCATTTAATTCATTTC